CAGAGAGGTTAATGTGACCCCTCCATATCAGAAAAAAGAAAGAAGCAACCTCAAGGGTAGGATGTGTCACATTATCTAGTGACAATTGAGTAACTAGATGTGCACATCACACAGACTACTATGTTTCATATTCACTAAGTGCAAAGAAATGTTTGTCTAAATACCTACAGATTATAAAAGACACTGTCAACCATCTTTAACATCTTACTGTGATAAATACATGTTTTGATGATAACATATTTTTTAATTGTCTAAAGCTATTGGTTTTATATGATGGAACACAGACAAAATACCAGAGACTAACTTTAAACAGCCTTGCATACTGATTATTTTGTGATAACCCAGAACAGTTTGGATGAATAAAAAATACCACATTCCTTATACATACATTTTAATTATTCCATATTTCTTTCATTCTTCCTATACTTCAAAAAAAATCAAGAATCATGCTATTAAAATCTAGATTACTATATAATTTATGTCCTATCAATATCTTAGCAATTTAAACAACTTCTCTTAACTTGTAATTTTGATAGTTTCTTAATATTTTCAATTTTGGAAAAAATTTGAAACATCAGCATCTGATGTTGTCGATTCAATTCCTGAACCCGTACTTGAATTCAAACAAACCAAATGTTTTAAATACTGTGTTCTATCATTGCAATAGAATCATCTAGAATAAATTATTATTATAATATTCAATATCTTAAAACACTCATTATGAACACTACAGCTTACCTCACAGTACCTGCTGCCTTGTGAAGTAACACCAGACCTTCAACTTTGTTTCTTAAATTCTATTTATATTTCTATATACTCTAAAGAACACTGGAAATAGCAATATGCAGGCCAGTTTGTTTAAACCTTTGTTCTTCCATGACTATTCCTTCAACAAAATGTTCACAAAATGATCCCCAAAAGAAATCAATGTCTGTGCCAGGCAGGGTAGCACATACCTTTAATACTAGCAATTCGGAGGCAGAGGCCAGCCTAGTCTATAGAGCAAGTTCCAGGACAGCCAGAGGTACACAGAAAAAAAAAAAAAAAAGGAAGTAAGGAAGAGATAGAGATAGAGGGAGAAAAAGAGAGAGGAGCAGGGAAGCAGAGAGGGGGAGAGAGGGAGGGAGGGAAAGAAGGAGGGAGGGAAGGACGAAGGAAGGAAAGAAGGGGGAAGGGAAGGAAGAAAGGAGGGAGGGTCAAAGAGAGGGAGGGAGCAAGGAAGGAAGGGAGAGAGGGAGGGAGGGAGGAAGGCATGCGCTATTTGTGCAGTTCATGTCAAGACCTGATACATAAGTATTATCCAGGGTCATATCTTCTCTTCCCTCTTCCCCAGATGTGTAGTTCCTGGAAATACGCTCTAGAATTCTATCCTTATTCTCACCTGTCCATTAATACATTGTTCATGATAGTTAGAAATTGCAGTCATTTCTATTCCAAAACTGGAGGAATCATGTCCCAGATGTATTGTGCTAACACACAACAACCCTCAACCATTAAAGTTCCAGTTCCCCTTGAGGGAATCTTTCCTGATTGCTCTGTCCAAAGAAGCTCCCATGTCAAGCACCAGGTCTTTTTTCCAGAGGACGTACTGCTTTCTCATAGCTTCTTGCTTCTCTCTTTGCTACTATTCCCACTACACAAACTAAAAGGTAGGAGAATGTGTTTGCCTCTAAGCCCCCTGGGTCTAGGGCACTGAGCTAAGCAAGACTCAGTACATATTTATTGGAAAAATGAATAAAAACCTGCACAAGCCCCACACAAATAGCCTTTTGATTGATATTTTTAAACCATGTAAAGCATGGTGCTTATATTTACTGGAAACATCCTCAGGCGGAGCTAATTTCTAAAGCAAGAACCTTAATACCTTAATTAAACCAAGCATTTGAGCAGTTTAATTTGTTAAAAAGGAAATGTTTGGCAGGAAGGAAAGATGGCTCAGCAGGTAAGGGAGTTTGCCATCAGCCTGATGACCTGAGTTCAACTCTCAGAACCTTCTAGGAGGATACTGGGAAGAAGAGGGGCTGAGTCTTGGGAGTCACCAGCCAGACTCAGAGGAAGTAGAACAGGTACAAAATGAGGTAACAAGCCACAAGCCATGTGGAAGCAAGAAAAGGAACAGAAATGGGTTAATTTGAAGTGTAAGAGCTAGTTAGTAACAGGCCTAAGCTACCAGTTGAGCATTTATAATTAATAAGAAGTATCTGTCTGGTTATTTGCAGGTGGCTGGTGGGAGAGAGTCCCTATGAAAACCTCCACCTACAAGAACCTTCACGATGGAACAAGAGGATCAACTCCCACAACTTGTTCTCTGTTAAAGTGGTCACTAGCCTTTTAAATAGTTCAAAAACTCTTTATTGTCCATGCTTCATTTGACAGAACCTGAAGATCCCAATAGAAACCCTGCTCAAGTCTGGATCAGGGTCTCACTCCTTCTCCATGGAAGGGTGGCCCTCCCTGCCTGGCCTGGTCATGTTCATTCTGAGACACACAGAAAAATCTTCCTCAGGGTAAGAATTCAAATCAGACTCCAAATTTCATGACAGAGGGCCACCTCTGCTGGCTGATACCTGAAGGGATTTTTGTTCAGTCTTTGGGCTTTGTGGTGCTGAGGATTAAACTTAGCCTTGCCCAGAATGGTCAGACACTGCAATGCTGAGGTACCTCTCCAGGCCTCAGGCTTCCTTTTTGTTTTGTTTTTGTTTTTGTCATATTTGTTTTGTTTTGTTTTTGTTTTTGTCATATTTGTTTTGTTTTGTTTTTGTTTTTGTCATATTTGTTTTGTTTTGTTTTGTTTTGTTTGGGGATGAAGTTAACCAAACTGACCTTGAATCCAGACAGGCCTTGACCTTGCAATTTTCCTGCCTAAGCCTCTTAAGAGTTGAGATTATAGACCTATGTCTCCATGTCTGGCTTAAAAGAGTCATTAATGGGTGTTTAAGTTGGCAGCACAGTTGACTGGTTCTTCTGGAATTTTCATCAAAGTTCAGCCATGATTCTACAAGGATCCATTATTTGCCAATGCCTGCATAAAGCAGCTAGAATTGAGACACACTGTTATAGGCATGTTTTCACTGTTGTCTCCTGTTTCCTCTACTGTGCCCTGCGTGATCATGTGCTCAGAAAACAATACTCCTGAGCTAATCCATCTCTGTCCTCTTAGTAGATTAAGTACATATTGAAAAAAGAGGTAATGTTGTCATCTTGTTTCTAGCTAGCATTGTGGAGAAGGAAGAGACCCCCAAAACACGTAAGAATGCAGCATCAAATAGCCCAGTGCAACCCAAGCTTCAAATCTCAAAAGCTGAATGTCCTTGGCTTGAGTACCATCTCTAAGTCAATATCCTAACTGTAACTGTGCTAAACCCTAGCTTATGAGGATCAAATAAGGTAAGCTATTGACTGTTCCAACAGAGACTCAGAGCACTTAAAAACATTCACTTGAACTATTAAAAGAAATCATCTATTTGGACATTAGCATGTTCTCTGGTAAATCTTAATTAAAATCATCACTCATTCCACTATGTGAGATAATTTCCAGTTAGTTTAATAGTAACACAAAGCTGCTTCAGACATACTTGAGAATATCCCTTCATCGGGTAGGAGAAGAATGGGACCAAGAAGGTTTTCATCCCTGTTTTTTCCCTAACAACCTCTTTCAAATATTTCTTTTCTGCCTTTTATTTTCCTTGGTTGTTTTCCCTTCTCATCTCAGTTGCTCACTTTTCTGTTATGCTTGACTTCATAGCTTGTGGATCTGCGCTTACTGGATGAGTCACACTGAAGATTCAGCCTCTCCATCTGCCAGGCAATAATTACAGTGAACACCAGTGGCACTGTCCTCCCAAGACCCCTTTTTAATCATCAGTCTACTCCATCTGTATTCTAAGTTAGGTTGGTTAGCATCTCCAAGTCCTAGGATCCTAATTAAAACAGTATTTGTCCTCTGGTTTATGGGGATGGTAAGATAATTAGTCTACTGTGAAAGGCACAGACCTGGGGGACTCAATAAAATGTTAACGGTAAATGTGACATAAAATTTTCCACTTAGATATTTCTATGTTCTTTGAAAATCTTAGTTATCATTTGTTGCACTACAGTAAATAACTTCCTGTTAGTTTAGCACTGGTGTTCCCTCAAAGCCCAACAAGGGGCCTGGGCAACTAGATACTCAGTTTAATCTAAAGTAACTGCCTAACAGAAAGCCGACCAAGGCAGTGCTTACAAGGAATTGGGGTTTTAATAATGGAAGGTCAGGCGTATCCTAAATGCTGAAATTATAAAATGTAAGTCTCAGGAGCTGTTAGGGGCTATGTGTGCAGAGGAGAAGGGATTGCTGATGGTTCTGATGGTTCCAGAGTTCTTGCTGCCTCAGAAGACTGGTCCATACAGGACACTAGCTTCTTTCCAATAATGAATCAGTGGGTCACAGATAATTTGAGTTTGACTTCTATCACTTGAAATAAAAATGGTCGCAATACAGAAAGTAACCTCTACTTTCAGAAGTTATGAAAAACAGATGAGATAGAAATAAGCAATCACCTAGCATATTACCTGGTATGTAATGCTTGCTTTAAAAAATGGTAGCCATTAATATTCTTTAGGCAGTGCAAATATAAATTTTAAGTCAGTTAATGAGCACAACTTTCAAAACCTTCATATCTTCATGTAATTTCAAAATTACTCAGAGGGCCTTTTGGCTTGAGGTCTTGGAAGAACTGAAGTGGCAGAAGTTTTCTGAATGAATTTTACCAGAGACATTGCATGAGTCTGACTCAAAGGCTCTTGTCCACTTAAACAACCTTAGAGAACAATGAATCCCAAGACCAAGAGTCCACAGTTCCTTCAACATGAGTAATTGAGCATCCAGGAGAACAGAGAGAGTGCAGGCTTATCCCATGAAGGAACGTGTGAGACACTGACTTGGCTATACCCCCCACCACTGCCTTTAGAGTGGAAAGCACACAGAAGAGTAAAGGAGCAAGGCCATCTGTATAACATACCTGGAGGGACACTACACTGACAGTGTCAAAGTGGATGTGTCCATTAGGCTCTGTGACAGCAGGATTGGCATAGCATGTCACACCATTGATTGCAGGCAATGGTAACGTTTTGGGTTGATGAGCTTTTTCTTTAGAACCAAAGTCATTATTCCCGAAGTGGGTGTGGTCATTCTACATGTGAATAAAATGAGAGGGTTATAAGAAAGAGGATGATCATACAGGTAAGAAAATGGTCCATTCTGTTTTATATCTACTTTACAACACAATCTCTTTAAAGTGCTAACATTTCTTCTTTAAACAGGTCCCTGTGTACTAGAGTCTGTGGTTGTTTTCTGCTTTCTCTGTGTTAGGGGATATATGTATATTCTTATTTGATGAATATAAAGGGGATACAAACTATCCATATCTACTATCTTGCATTAAATTGGGGTTAATAGTTCCAAATTCTATGTGTCCAGTGTTTGTCTTACTCCTGTCAATGTACTGATTTCTTTTTTCTTTTCATATTTGCTACTATAAGAGCCAGATGTTGGTGGTACATGCCTTTAATCCCAGCACTCTGGAGGCAGAGATGGGCGGATCTCTATGAGTTCAAGGCCAGCCTGGTCTACAGAGTGAGTGCCAAGACAGGATCCAAAGCAATACAGAGAAACCCTGAAGAGAAAGAGAGGGGTGGGGAGAGAGGGAGGGAGGGAGGGAGGGAGGGAGGGAGGGAGGGAGGGAGGGAGGGAGGGAGGGAGGGAGGGAGGGAGAAAGAGAGAGACTGTCCATATAATTCACATTTCTTGCCTTTGTTAGGGAGCCTGGGAAAGCAAGATGTCAAATGTATTGAATCAAGTTCATTTACCTGTCCATATGTTTTCAGTAGCATCTTAAGTGTTCTTTCAACAAAGAAAAGCATGTAAAATCCACCAAACACAGCAACCGCCTTCTCAACATAATTGTCAATTTTTGGATTAAATCCAAATGCCTAAAAAGGGGGGAACAGGGCAATTCAGATCAAACCAATGAGTTGAATTGATTTCTGGAAAACAATACATAATTTCTTAGAACACAATTTTCTCCAAAGTTGTAATTCCACCCCCAAACAAATACTCTGAAACATGAGTAACCAGACCACATACAATGCATTAAAACCTCCCTACTAGAAGTTTCCCTGTGAACTAAACCAGCAGATCTTATAGGTTCCTCTCTGGAACATCCATAGCAACATTTGCCTTGAGTGACTCATGAAGCAGACAAGATGCTAAATACACATACATAGAACACTGCATTGTGCTAAACATATCATGCAAATGCATATCATGAAAAATGTGCATTGCAATTCTCATTGGTAACTAGCCAATTGTATGACTGTCTTCAAGTCACTTAATCTCTTTAGATTTTTAGCTTTCCTCTTAATATTTGAGGGTTTGGGTATTTGTCTTAGGCTATTTCTAAATATATATTAATAAAATCCATAATCCTAACCCTAACCCTAGCCCTATGACTTGTTCTTATATACAGATGATAAACTAGAAGAAGCTTTTGTTATTTTGTAACCTTACAAGAAGGGCATGTCCTGAATACTACTTTTGCTTTATTTTGGGCCAGTCTCTTCTACACATGCAGAGTATGGGGGAGATATGGCCCCCACATATATGATTTCTCTCATTGGTCTATGTGACTTGTTCTTTTTCTTTCCCTCTCTTATTTTCATTCCATTATTTCTTTTTCCTATATGGCCATAACAGAGATATTAACTAAAACATGCACATTAGGTATTAAGTGAATAGTGTACTACAGTCATTATTAGGTAATACACTTTAGTCAAAGGGAAAAAGGTTAAATTGTTCTGGTTTCTTCTTGCTTTTTGAGATAGGGTTTCTCTGTGTAGCTTTGGCTATCCTGGAACTTGGAGTCCTCGGAGGTTCTCTAACTCTGTCTAAGCATGTCCTGATGGCTGCCCTCCTGGAACAGTAATTTGTCTCTGACTCCAACAGTCCTTGATGATGAAGGCAATCTTTGACACTCAGTGTGGTTCTGCTTTCTCCACCTAAAGCCTTATAAACCCATCCCAAGATGTTGCAAGGGTTATGAAGGCTAAAATGCACAAAGTGCTAAAGTGTTTAAAATAAACAGCTACTCACAGAAACACATAGCCCACCCCCTTACCTCTGGAATAAGCTGGAAAATGGCATTTGAGAAAAGAGTCCCAATAGCCAACCCCACAAAATAAGTCAAAATCTTGGGGAAGTAAGACTTCTTTATTAATGGGGTCAAAATCAGTCCCAAGAGAGATGCCAAGTTAATAATTGTCACCGACAGGATTCCATAGCTCCAGACTATGGGTAAGGGGGAGAAGAATAAAATTAGCGACAGTCACAGAGTCAACTGCATCATTGCACATTAACTTTGCAGCATTTCTTCTCTAAAGGCTTTAACGAGTACCTTCTTCAAAACTAAAATTCTCACTGAAATTTATACAGAAAATTGAGAACATACATACAGCAGACTGAAAATCCATAGAAATCATATACTTGTAGGGGTTAGGGATATAGGTCAGTTAGTACAACATTTGTTTATCATGCAGGAGAAGGTCCTGAGTCCAGTTCCTGACAATTCATAAACTAAACATGGTGGTGCATGCCTATAATCTCAGCGCATGGGAGGTAGAATTAGAAGGATCGCTACTTCAAGTCAACTTCATCTATATTGCAAGTTTCAAGGCTCACCTGGGCTACAGAAAGGAAAGGAAATAGGAAGGTGTGCTTGTGATTTAAGTTGCCCTATGCTGTTTGCACAAACTCACCTTACCAGTCCAGTTGAAGATATGGATGATGCTGACATCAGCAGTGGTTCATGCTTCACTCAGATACCAAAGGGGTACTCAATAAATGTTACTTGGGAAGCAATGAGCAAATGCTATCCTAGTTTGATAGTTAACTATATGTGCTGCCCGCCATCTTGACTATAGAGGGTTGACTTAAGAACTGAATGGAAATGAAGTACGCCCAGGAAAATTCATGGTAGCAGTGTGGTCTGAGATGTACCACGGCCACTGGAACCAAGTCTCATATGGCACAGAGAACTGAGTGGAAAATGAGAACGCTGCCGCTGCGTTGTCGATTTTTAAGCATCCACGAGAAAGCGCTTTTAAATACATGTATTCTGTTCTCGCTGGCTCTGTCAGCACACAAGCTATGCCCTGTGCACAGCAAGCATCTGCCATGTGCCAGGTACTGCGCAGAGTCAACAAAGTCTTGTGTGAAGAACACACAGAGTTCCCCTAAGCCCAAGTGACACAGATAGAACTCTGAATTTAGCGGTTAGAGGGGTGACTTATAGTTTAAAAGCAATTGGTATTCTTGAAGAGGACAAGTGTTCCATTGCCAGCACCAACACTGGAGAATCCAGCGCCCTCTTCTGGCCTCTGTGGGTACTGCATACATGTGGTTCACATTCAGACAGGCACACACAAAGACACACAGACATGATTTTTTTAAATATTTTAAATATAAATATGAGGGAAAGATAAAGTAAAGCTGGAGAGATGGGTCAGCAGTGAAGAGCACTTGATGCTCTTGTGGAGGACCCTGAGTTGGTTCCCAGAAACCCACATGGTGGCTCATAACTATCTGTAACTCAGTTTCAGGACATTCAGTGTCTTTTTCTGGCTTCCAAGGGTACCAGACATGTACATGGATCACATACATATATACATACATATTAATACATACATACAGACACAGTTTTTATAAGGGTAAAATAAATAGCATTGTCCCTTGACTATAAAAAGCCTACAATATATGTTGTGTATTGTTATTAAAAAAAAAAAAAAACACTAAGAAGACTACTTACTTTGTTTAGTTCACTGTCACACAGTGAAAAGAACAGGCTGAGAGTTAAAAGCCTTGGGCTTCTCCCTCCACCTCAGGCATTGCAACTATGGGAAACTGCTGTGAGGGACTAGCCATCAGGCAGATCCCCACTAGACAGACAGACAGGGAAAAGAGGTTCTACATAGACGGTATGCTTCTCACTTATGCACTGAGGATGGCCCTCTCAAAGACTTGGCGGACTTTGCCTCTACCCAGCCAGCTACATGCCAGAGGAAACTGCTCATTACAACTTTAAACCTAGGGGGAGGTGTCCTGGGGCAAGAAACAGTGAGCTCCGCCCCTTTTTCCTGAGCTGTCTGGCCCCCTGAGATAGCCCAATCCAGCCAATTCTGAGGGACAAAGGGACCCACTTCACCCAGGAGCAAAAACGTTTTGGTTCTGCCAGACAAATTCAGATTTCAGATTCCAGATTCCCTCCCCACTGGATGCATCTGTCTTTTTGTGTTCTGTGGTGTGTGTGTGTGTGTGTGTGTGTGTGTGTGTGTGTGTGTGTGTGTAGTGTATGTGTCTGGTGTGTGTGTGTTGTCTGTGTGGTATGTATGTTTATGTGTATGGTATGCTTGTGATGTGTAGATGTGTGGTGTGTGTATGGTGGGTGTATGTGTGTGATGTGTGTGGTGTGTATGGTATATGTGGTGTGTGTGTGGCACATGTGAGTATCTGTGTGTGTTTGTGTGTGTGGTGTGTGTATAATGTGTGTGGTGTATGTGTGTATGGCCTATGTACTGTGTGTGTGGTATATATATGTGGTATGTGTGTGATATGTGTGTTGTGTATGTTTGTGTGTGTGTTTGTGTGTGTGTGGTGTGTATGTGCATGTGTGTGACATGCTTACAACAAAACATAACCAAATGTTGAGATCTTTCTTTTCCTGTTTTCTTATTATCTAAATCAGCAGAGAAAAGGAATGTTCCTGCAGACCTAAACAAACTCACTGTGAAGCCTTGATTCAGCCCTCTGAGCTCACTGCTCCATCGCTGGCTGTGCTATGTTGGACAGGATGCCCTTAAGGATGCTCTAAGTAAGACTATATAACTCCTACATCTTGTTCGGATTAAACAGTACTCAATGAACTCATAGAGAACTTAGCTACTGCTAAGATAGGATTAATTTCTGTCCTAAAGATGTTAATTTATCATTAGTTTACTGAAGATAACCATGTGGTTTGTAAGGCAAGGGAAAGGCAACTTCAAAAAAAATGACAAAATGTAAGATCTCTAAAAATTGAGACCATTTCATCTTCCCACCAAAGTGTCAATATAAATGTGTTCAGACGTTTTTGTATGATGGTCCCCTTTGAAATAAGTTTATTTTGATTTTTTAGTTCCTTAAATGTCCTTGAATTTAACTCACAAGCAGTGAAATGTTACATTCAAAATCTAATACATTTGATTATTTTTAATTTCTTTGTGAGAAAGTAACATTCCATAAGGGTCAGGGAGTCCCATGAACCTCTGGACACTTGTGTAAGAAGCTGGGGACAGATCTGCAGGTAAGATCACTTGCTGCACAGCCATGGAGATCTGAGTTCACGGCCCTAGCACCCTCCAAAGCTTGTGTGTCCACATACACCTATAATACCAGTGTTTCAAGAAACAAAACAGGGGAATTGCTGGGGCTTGATGGCCATCAGCTAACTCTCGCTCAGTGAGAGCCCCTGCCTCAAGAGAGTACATGGAGAGCAATAGAGCAGGACAGCTAACACCCAAATGCACACACAAGGGCACTCCACCCACATGTATGCAGTCTTCACACATACAGCCAGACACACATGGACACAGAAAGATCAAAGACACAATCCTCTCAAGCTGAACCAAGCACTGTTCAAGTCATTCACACTCATTGGTTCATTTTGGTGCTACCCACAATTCTCTAATAAAGGAGCTGTGATTAAACCCACCTTACAAATGAAGGGACTCAGGCAGAAAGACACTGAATAATTGCTCAAGACCACACAACTGCACTAAAATAAAACTGCTAAGCATCACACCAAATGACAATGCATTGCCAAACTAAACAGATAGCAGAGTCAAGCACTCCGCTCTCTTTGTTAGATTCTCTGTCCAAATATTTGGTGCTTTTCTGATCTTGTAACTGGGAACTGTTGACTTTTCTGCTTTATGACTTTGCAGTGTTGACTGTAGAATTCCCCCTCACTTCCTGCTTCCTCTTCTCCTGATCTCATCTCCAGGCTCCAGCTGACAAAGAGTAACCTGAACAGCGGAAGTTTGGAAACCTACCTCTCCCCCCTCCCTTCTCTTCCCCTTCCCCCTCCCCCTTTCCTCTCCCCCTCCTCCTCCCCCTCCCCTCCCTCCCCCCTCCTCCTCCCCCTCCCCTTCTCTGTCTCCTTTTTCCTCTTCCTCTCCCTCTCTCTCTTTCTCTCTCTCTGGCTCTCTTCCTCCCTGATTTGCTCTCTCACTTTGGTTTTCTGGCACTGTCTTCTGTATCTCAGACTGGTCTTGAACTCGAGGTGATCTTACTGCCTCAAATTCTGCAGTGTTAGAATTACAGGCCTGAGCCACCACCCTCAGTTGCAGAAATACTTTTGAATCTAGTAGCTTCCTGAACCCGTGGGCTTTATGCAATACTGAAACAAATATTGTTCTAGGTACTTTATGAGTGCTGTTATTTAATCCTTTTTAGCAACACTGTGAGAAAGGGACTAGACTAGATGGGATAAAAAGAAGTCAAAGCATGTTGCCAAAATGGCCAGAAAAAATCATGGAGTTGGGCTTTGAAGTTTGTACCTTTATTAGTATGTATTGCTAGTAAAAGTTAGTATATTAAAATTTCTGTTGCATTAATTTTTAATTGTAAACTACATGCATCAAAATGTAAAAGGCTTATAGAAATATAAACATACTCTAGTGGACATCTGTAATTCTGGCATCTTCTATCATCTACAGATGTTAAAAGGTAGTAACTTCATGCTTTAAGAGGTCATCTAGAAGCACATTAGTTTTCCTGTACCTTCTATCTGAAATTGACAACTTGTCTGATCGATTAAGTCAAATAACACACAACCAGAATCACAGCATATAGTTTTAAATCAAGAAGTGATTGCATATAGACACATAAAATTATGCTGATGACCAGAGTGTAGAAATAAAACTGTCTCGAGCAGTGGTTCTCAACCTGTGAGTCTTGACCCCCTTAAAGTTGTACAGCAGATATTCTGTATGTCACATATCTTTATTACCATTCATACCAGTAGCAAAATTATGGTTATGAAGTAGCAACGAACTAATATTATGGTTGGGGGTCACTACAACCATATGAGAAATTGCATTACAATGAGAAATTGCATTAAAGGGTCTCAGCATTAGGAAGATTGAGAACCGTTGTTCTAGGGGAACAAGAATTATTTGTAAGGGGAATGTAGAAATGGGAGAGAGAGTAAATGTGGTCAATGTATAATATGTATTTTATGAAAAAGTCAGTAAATAACAGAGCACAATGTTTAGTGGATATATACGATAAAAACTAAATAAGTAAAAAGATAGAATTGGATTTAGGAGTCTGAATGTGTACTAAGGACAGTCTTGATCCCACAAGCAGAACAGCGTTGCTTACAAAGCTTATATGAGTTCCCATTATTTTTATTTAAATACTCACTGAGTCTTATTTTACCAGGAAGTCACTTACAAATTAATTAAAAGCAATAAAGGAGAAAAGGGTGCATGTGAGCCCGCGGCCTCTCACACTTTCCGAGAGAGTGAGAAAGCGGCTCCAGGTACCTTCGGAAATACTGGGCTTTGCACTGTGCTTCGGCTGATCCTCACAGGGATGAAAGTTCAGCTGCTGTAAGATCGCAGGGCAGATAGCAGAGAAGTTCGAGCTGGTTATCTGGGTAGCATTCGAGAAGCCATGAAGAGAAAAGATGTCTTCTGCTGACAAGCACTGAAACAGAAGAAACACAGGAGCGCTGACAGTGATATAGTCAGCACATGAGAATGAACATTCTAAGCTTAGAGTCTAAGGAAGCATACTGTACTCCATCCGGGTAAACCGCACTGAGTCTACGCCAGAGCCCACTACAGAAATGAATGGACTGCCACACGGTGAACCACTCCTCTTTAAAACTAGGAAGAAACAAACAAAATGGCAAGGGGATTATTTAATCAACAGCTTACCTAACGTAAACAAACAAAAGTGAGAATAAAAATGGGTTTAGACGTTGAGAAAGACTTCAACACTAATAGTAAGAGAGATAGGCTGTGGATATAACTCAGGGTAGGGGTAGGGGGCTTGCCTAGCATACACAAAGTCTGAATTATAAAACATGCAGTGATTAAAAGCACGCTGATAGCATTTGAGCACAGACTCTATCATTGTCTCAGTCCTCCATTTTGGTTGTTTAAGTGGATATTTTGAGGGGCTGCCAGCGTAGCTTTCTAGCAGTCCATGTTGCTAGATACTGGACTCCTTACAGTTTCATAGCTTAAAAATGCATTCATCTATGTAGATATAATAGTTCCAACATGTAAAAAGTGTTTCAAAAATATATCAACACAAACTATTGTTTACTAAAATATGTATTATTCTAAATGGTGATAAATAGCTTTTCTATATTATGGAGAGTTTTAGAGATAGTGCTGGATCATTTATAAATTCATTAACTTTTTAATGAGGCAAAGAATCTGCACTAGGAAAGAAAATCTCTGCGAAACTAATTTTTAAAGGATCATTTACTTTCAAGTGCATTTCCACTGTAAACTATATTCTAAATACTTGCTAAGAAGATAACAAAACAGATTAAACGTTAATAAATTAATGCTATAAAGATTAGAAAGTGTGGGAAACCCCATTTACTCAAACAGAAGCCAATCTTTTTAATAAAATCAACTGAGAAATGTTTTTGTTCATTTCAGCCAGTCATCTAACCCCACTAAAATCTTAGCTTTGTGCTATACACTGAAATGTATTCCTCGGAATTCATGTCAGAACCCTAATCCACAGTGTGATAATTGAAGGAGATAGTCTCATGTAAAAAATTAAGGTTAAAGGGGGCCATGCAGGAAGGAAGGACGCTGGTCCAAGAGGATGAGTGTCCTGTGAGAATGGACACTAGAGACAGCACAGTTGAAAGACTATCTATGAGCCTCAGAGAAGCTCTCACCTCATATTCTAGGACTCTGGACTTTCAGTCCCTAGACCTATTGGAAAAGTAATTTGTAGGTTAAGGTATTTCATATTGCCATAGCAGCCTGGCCTGAATGTAATGCACCATGGATGGTGCTGAGAATGTCCAGGTTGATGTAGGGGCTGGAGAGATGGCTCAGGAGTTAAGAGCCCTTTATGCTCTTGTGGAGGGCCCAGGTTGGGTTCCCAGTACAGAGCTACTCACAGCCACTTGTAACTCTAGTCTGCAGACACTCTGGTATCAGTGGGTTGCTATTTGCTTATCTTAGCCACGGAAAGCTGAGTTGGAGCACCTTATGTACACAACCAAAAAAAAAAAAAACAAAGGTAGTCATGATGGTAAGGGGCGCTTAGATCTCATTACACACAAAGCCCTGAAATTATACTCAAAACCATTTCAGCAAATGGTCTCGTGCATCTCAGTTTCTGTGTCCCTACTCCTTCCTCACTGATAACAAATTTCTCTGCTTCACTTCTAGAAGACTTTGTGTGATGCTGGGCACTAGGGTAAGGAAAGGATGAGGTAAAGATTACAGGTCCCTCCCTTTGGATTTTATACACTGAAATCTGTGTAATAAATTATTACTACAATAATTATTCTTATTATAGTGAATCCCAAGGCATGTGGCAAGACTTGAAGCAGAAGACTTCCAATACTCCTAGAGAGTCTTTTCCTCATTAAATTTTAGCCTGACCTCAGGTCTCAAGCTTGGCAGTCATTGTTTCGGAGCCTGCATTTCCGCTCTATCTTATGAAGTTATTTAGGAGAACGGCCCCATTCTTAGTGGCTGATTACTTTCAAGTCAAACTCCCTTTTTCCCACTCCTAGCCCCAGTCACACTCAATCTTCCTTCGGGGGCGGGGAGGGGGAATTCTGTTGTTTAACCAAAAGACTCCCTGTACCGGTGTTTCCTCTTGGTGAACTTCTGCCCACAGATGCCTCCCACCCTAGTTCATTGTCTGCTCCAAGCTATTTGGAGGGACTCCAGTTTGATGCTTTCCCCTGGAGTGGGTAACTCTGAATGGCCTTCACTGGCCACTGGGCGGCCATATTGCACTGGGCATGTCGGGGAGAATGGTGAGATGGGAAAGGGAAGCAGTGACCTCAGTAAGGGAGTCTCCCTTCCTGAGATGAGAGAGCATCAACCAAATTAAGGGAAGCTTGACCAACCAAAAGGCTGCTGAAGGGGTTATTCATTCATTTTCTCACCCCACACATTCTTTTCTCCCTAGCCCTCAGGCCTTTAGACTCAGTTACAACGGTGATCCAGCTTGCAGATAGTAGATCCTAGGACTTGAAAGTCCCCAGCAATCTCCTTTCCCATCCCACTCCCTCTCTGCCTCCCTCTACTTTCCTTTCTCCCTCTCTCTGTCTCTCTCTGACTCTCCTTTACACCCTCCAGCCTTTCTGTGTTTCTCTCTAATAGATATAAGAAGGTATGGTAAAGACAGACCTAGCCATCTTTAGATCCTACAGATTCTGTTTCTCTGTAAAAACCCTGGTTAATACACCTGACTGGAATGTAAGTACAATGGCACGGCTATAATTCTTGATCATTGTTAAAGATAATCACAAATTAACAGCATTTGAAGTAGTAAAAAGAGATTGTTCCTTACACTGTCAGACTGTGGTTTTCTTCAACTGTGATGAGGTAAGACAGCCAAGCCATTACAGTACATTGCATTGATTATTGCCTTCATTATATAAATATTTATTGGAACATAAAAGTATTATAAGAATATTAATGAGAGAAGTGAAAGATAGAAGACAACCAGGAAAGAAATAGAATAGAAATAATAAATGATAGCATCACCTTCAATCAAGAGACCTCAAAAACTGTGGCAAAGAGGGGCGGAACCCACACACACCAAGAACTCTAAAAGCAGAGTAAAAATGATAAATCCCAAAGAGCTGTGATAAAGAACTAAGAAAGCTCACATGAGGGAGAAACTGTTTGCTGAAGAAATCATGAAAAACTACTTGGAGACTAGAACTGGAAAGAGGGTGTTGGTCCTGGTATGACACTGGGCATGCGGTGGCCGGCTCCATTTTAGGCATCTGAGCTCACAACACTTGCAGGACCTCAGAGGGAGATGAATGGCAAGCTTTCTCTGAGAAGCACAGAAGCCAGAGATAAGGCTGTGTCTGTCTGCTGTAGAGCAGTGATACTGGAGTGGGTATAGGCGAGATGATCAGGAGAAAAGATATAGAGAAAAGAGCAAACACCTTGGAGATACAGAAAGCAATTGTAGAAAAGTGGGAAAGGGACCCAGAAATGATGATGCCTGTGTGTCATGTCAGCATTCAGGAAGCTGGGGCACCAGAATGGAGTTAAAGGCCAGCCTGGACTTGTGAGACTGTCTCCAAAAAAAAAAAAAAAAAAAAAGGAAAAAACAGATAGGAATACATATGGCTGAGCTCAAGTGCTTGCCTAACCTTGGAAGACTCAGGGTTAAGGGTTAATCCCAGGCACTACTGACACCACCCTCAAATCTAGAAAGAGAGACAGAGAATAAAAGAAACAATGTGCCAGGTGGTGGTGGTGCATGCCCTTAATCCCAGTAATCCCAGAACTCAGGAGGCAGAGGCAAGCAGGTCTCAGTGAGCCAGAAGCCAGCCTGGTCTACAAAATGGGTTCTAGGCCAGCCAGGACTGTTACACAGAGAAACCAAAGAAGCAAAGCATAAGAAATAATAAATACCAGTGAATGTAGGGGATGCTGGGGATGCTTTTTCCTGGGTTGCATTCTTCCTGAGCCAGTACAGACCACCTCAGCATCATGGCAGTACGCTTCCAAGTAACACCTGCCCTAGATGTACACATCCAGAGCTACTAAAGAAGTTACTCTCTGGGAGCACCATGAGTCTAACGGCTCCTTCGGCCACCTTGGCCACCAAGTGGAAGAAGGAGCCGAGAGAAGGAGTTTCAAACCACCTCGATTGAGGGTGTGCCTGTGTCTGAAGTTCATATCCTCTGGTCTCTTGTCTGGATGGATGAATTCTTTTTCACCTAAAGAGAAGTTACATTTTTTTTTTCTCTGTATTCTTCAAATAAGATTGAGACATAAAAGTCCATCTGTTTGTTGGCTGGCTGGCTGGCTGGCTGGTTTGGAGACAGAGTCTCACAATTGTTCACTATAACTCCGGCTAGCCTTGGAACTCACTATGAAGTCCTCAGAGCCTAAATGCTGGGATTACAGGTTTAAATCACAGTGCCCAGCCACTTCCTGTAGTGACAAAAAGATACACTCTCTTATTCTTCGGAGCTTATCTAAGTCGTCCTTTGACCGTTAAACCTGTACTTGGCATCTTGTCAAGTAGCCCCCATTAAATAAGACAATAAGATCACCTGCCCTTGTGCTCCTGAGTCCAGCCTCTTCACACCATACCAAAAGCGGAATATCATCCCATCACGTCTCCCCAGAGACTGTTTGATTATGTCATAGACGGAAACTGAGGAGACCTGAGCGGCTCACATACAACAAGGACTTTGCTATGCAGGTTGTATTCTGTCTGTGTGGGTCACTGTCACACGGGCTCTGTTCTCTCAGTACAGATATACAGAAGTGAGCGTGATATATAATGTCTGTAAGACTTACTGGTTATCAAAATGAGAAAAAGGTAGCAGGCCAGTTCGTTTTCCTGGATTATAAATCACTCAGCTACACAAATAGTAAAGTCCATTACAAAAGAGAGCCATCGAGGGGCAGGGGGCTTTGAGTCCAAAGGTGGAAAGAACTCTTAACTTCTTTCTTTTT